AGAGAGAGAGAGAGAGAGAGAGAGAGAGAGAGAGAGAGAGAGAGAGAGAGAGAGAGAGAGAGAGAGAGAGAGAGGTGGTCTTGTTCTGCGTATTTTTCTTTTGCAGTAGAGTCCTCTTTGTGTGTCATGCTGTTGTTAGTCGTGCATGTATGAGGTGTTGTTTTTCCCCACACTGTAAATGTGTAGATATTGATTCTGGGAAAGTGAAGGTTCCTGCTATGCAGGAGAGGGGTTCACAGCGATTTCACAAACAAGGGGCTTGTAGAGAATGAGGTAACTCTGTGGTCCATGCCATTGTTATGATTCATTGACTCGCTGGTGTAAGGCTCGGATTGGCTGTTACAAAGAGTAGAGCATCACGGTTGACAACACCACCGTTGCTGTTGGTTGTTGATTTGTTGTTGGTTGTGCAGTTCGCTTCAGCAGGCGCGTATGCGAAGCCAGTTTGTTCAAGACATCCAGCGCTGACGGATGGTCTGAAATCTTCTATTCTTTAGCCTGATTGAGACGAATCTCAGGCTGGTTTGACTTTGGCTGGATTAAGTCTTCTTGGCGCCATGGAGGGCTTGACCGTTTTGGAGCGTAATGCGATCCGGGAACTACAGCAGAAGATGCAAGATCGTAAGTCGTAGGTTGTTCTCTTCTTCTCAGGGCAGAGTTGGAGGATACGACCTTCTCTCCCTTTGGACCTGAGATGGCAATGATGCATATATGTACTCTGCGCGCCCTCTTTCCGCTTTTTCCAACCTTTTGGTCAGCAGCCAAAACAGGGTGGCCCCACATGCAAATGGGTGCTTTGAGTGGGTAGTTTTCAGTATGTAGTATGAGCATGACATCAGTCTAGCCATGACAGTTGGGTGATCAAGAGGATGGATTGAGTTCTGATTGGGTTGATATGAAGCCAACGGATTCACTGTAATTCCGAAAGTGTCTGTACTGCCTCTTTTCTCTCTATTTCATCTTCTCAGTATTGTCAGAATGTGTTGCGCTTTCTTTGCGCGTGTGTGGACGTTTTTCGGGCATGTACATGCCTCCGTGTGTGTATTTGTTTTATTGCCTTTTTGCCCTGTCCCCCTTAGAATGGTTGGCCGCCCTACCTCTTTTCTTGTCCTTGTCTTTGTTGCCCTGTCCTTGCTTTTTTTTTTTGACTGAACTTCCATCTAGAAACAACAAATTACCCTAACCCTGTGGAACCACGGGCTCGCAGTTACAGCCAAAACTGCTGCAAAATGTTAGCCGATTTAGGATCTCAAACGGATGTAGTCTTATTATATGGTCAATATCAGTATACGTTGGTTAATGACATGGATATTCAGAAAAGTACGACTTCAGAAAGAAGTATCTATATCTCAGCAATTTTTCTTTTTGCCTTTCTCCTAAGCTGAGTGGGACTAAGGCCTTCCCTCAAATAATGAATAATGCCTTCAAAAAAGAATGATGCCTTCTATTCAAGGGTGGATGGTAGTCATTTAATTGGTTCTCCTGCCTGCGATCTGGGTATCAGTAGTGCTTGCTCTGTTGCTCTGTGAATATATTGCTCCGTTTTCGTGTCAGGAGTACAATTGAACCACTCCATCTTTTTTCCCGTCTGTCTGAAAACAAGGCAAATAGAAAAGGCATGAACTTGAGTGCCAGGAAACTGTTGTCTAGACGAGTTTTGGGGTCGTCTCCCTTCTTGACTACTGTGGTTTTCTAGTGAAATGACTAACTCAGCCTATTGTTGATGAGGTTGCATGTTTTTCTGCTTCCTCTGCACTGGCACAAAATGTATCCAGAGGCAATTCTTTTGCACGTGTAGTGATGTTGCACTTGTTTAGGTTCCTCTTTCTGTGAAATTTCTTTTGTACTTGTTTTGTCGTTCCTCTTTACTGATTGTGCTGTCTCGTTTTCCTGTCTTGTATGTGTCCTGGTGGAATGCATGTGCACACTCGTGGTGCCTTTTGGGGTGCAGTTGACAAAGATCTGATGCGATCATTTGAGGTATGTGACCAATCAGCACCACCTTGTTTCTTTGGGGGGTGGGTGGGGCGGGGCTGGTTGAAAGGGCACTGGAAAGATCTAGGGTCTTTTGCACTGACAGAGGGTCTCAGAGAGGAAACATCCATATATGTACTGTGTACATGGAGGGGGTGGGGTGCACTCTCTCTCTCTCTCTCTTGTGTGTGTGCGCGCGCATGCGCGCGCGTGTGTGTGTGTGTG